TGTTGGTTACTGAGCTCGTGTTCACCAAACACATCCTGATAGGGTCCAAAACCAACACAGCAGAGGTGTGGGGAGCAGGTGCTAGCAGCCTCAGATTTGGAAGATTTTCACCTCACCGGCATGGTCGGAGTGTGTAAGGATGCAAAGGTAAATTTAGTAGGCCTACAGCAGGGTTCATGAAATGCCACAAATCAGAAAGGCGATGATCAGATCCAAAACGAGCCTGGAAATCTTTGGCAGAATAATCCACATGTATCTCAGCTTCACCAACATCCAACTGTGCTTTCCTTGACATCTGTGATGCTTCCACCAGGAAGAAGGGCCAAGAGTTCAAAGGGAGCTGGAATTCCAGATAGGACTGGGGGGAGGAGACTGCTGACCATTTGTCGATAAATTCAGCAGGCATGTCAGCACACCTATGAAGCTCCAAAAGTTAATGAAGATGTTTCATTCAACCTTTATTTAAACAAAGAACACAGATGAGGTAGACAACAATAGACAATCATCGATAGATGAAGATTTTGTCCTTGGGTACTCATGTCCCAGGAGAAATTTGATAGTCAGCCTGTCTCCGAGGCCATTGGGAGTCTTATTTAGATAAGCTTGATTTTTGTTTTTTCTTCAGGCAGACAGATTTTTTTTTTTTTCTTCAGCCTTGAGTCCATCTGGGCGTTCTGGTTCCGAAAAAGCCTAATTGTGGGATTCCATTCCACTGATCCATGCTATGAGTCTCCTTCAAGGTCGAACCCACTACGCTGATGAGTCCCAGAAGCTGCAGGTGGTCTGCAATTCTCAATCGCCTCCACCGTACGGTTAAGCTCGTAGACCAGATGATTTAAAGTTCCCACAGTGAGGACCAGACCTTCACACTGACTCAGAAGCTTTTCCATGGCCAAAACTGCTCCCGCTGTCTTCTTCAAAAGTCGATAAAACAGAGCCCCGCCGATGCCAAAAAGCAGAGTCCCTGCTATCATAAGTCCAAATATGTAAACATCTTCAACATCTTCTTGAGACAGGACTGTAATGCACATCAACTGCCACACTCCCCATGAATCCATGACGTACCCCACAGCGTGAGTCTCAGCTGGACACGCCGGTTCTCCAGGACCTTGTCGTTTTGATGAAAAAATCTTATCAATAGAGTTGAACGCCCACGATACCAAATCCATAATCTTATTAATTTATGTTCGGGAGATGAGACCCAGGCGCTTCAGACAGACGGAGAGCAGAGCAGGAAGAAGGAAAAAAATGGGGGAGGAGAAACAGAAGCTACCACCTCGATCAGAGCCTGGGAGGAAAAATGAAATAAAATAAATTATTTAAAAGCAAAACGAGCAACATTATAAAATACTAAAAACAGGAACATGTCTTCATTGGTTTTTGCCATAAACTTAGCAGTTGTTTAAAAAGGTTAGGTCAAGGTTCACAACTTTACATATTTTTGCAAGGAGCTCCAGGTTACAGGAGTGGAGTAGGAGAATCATACTGCAGATGTGAGTAGACATTTTGAACAACACTTTGTAAACGCACCAGAACTACAAACAAATCTGAGCGTGATGGACAGCAAGCCCTACACATTGACGCCATGTTGCCACGCCCTGAGAGTTCTTGGTTTTCAATACAGTGATAAGACAAGATAGAATTTTATTGATCCTGCAGGAAATCCCTCACCTGTCATGGCGGTTACATTCCAGAGACTCCTGCAGAAGGTGAAAATCTACAAAGTAGTGTTGTTTTCAGTTTCTGTTTTAAATGTGCTCTATAAATAAATCTGACTTGACTTGACTTATACTTATTTTATTATTTATAAACCCCCTCCCACTCTCATAAACACTTCAATGTTTCCCCTACCATTATAAAAGCAGGGCACACCACCTACCACAAGCTAAAGGCAGCACTCACTGCTTCTGCTCTCACGCTGAACCCCACCCGGCTTGAAAACTGACAGTACAAATGTAAGCAAGAGACACTGTTCAAGATTTGCAATATTTCTTAAAAACAAAGAAAATCAATACCTGTATTTAGATAAAAGAACAGGAAAATTTACCAAACTAAAACTCAGCTGCTGAGGCTTACCGGTCGGTAGGTGCCGACAGACCTGTTCTGGATGGAAGGCTCCTGAAAACACCCACTGCAAACACCCGTGAACTCACACTCACTCCTTGGATGTCCCTCCACCTAGTTGTGTTAATCACTGCAACATGCACACGAAAAAGGGATGCCACCATCCAGGTCAACACACCACCTCAGTGCTGGAAAAAATTGGAAATGCACAAATGCAACTTAAAAATACAGACAAGATAAAAAATAACAATATAATGAAACCATTAAAAACCCATTGTCTTTTGTCAGCACCGCAACGATTGATTCAACAAGCCGGTGCTCAGTTTCTTCTTCCCTCTGGGGCGTGGGTGTGTCTGGAATGCCTCAGTTTGGTCAGCCACACATTTATGACAGCACATTGGTAAATCCCGATCCAACAGAGCAGCAGCGGTGATGATGGGTCTAGAACAAAACCACCCACAATATTGGATATAAAATATCAAAACAGCTGAACCAAGTTAATTAAAATGAGGCTCACTGTCCACATCCCGATCAGGCTAATCTCTTTCCACACTCACAGGAAGGCTGATGTGAGGGCACAACTTGACAACAATAGCCACTGCACACAATCAAACGTGGGGGGGTAAACTCAACAGTTATCTGCTACTGTAAGGATAAATGAGTAACATTGCTGAAATAAAAGTAAGTGCGTGATCAGCCAACCTCACCTGTACTGGGCACACAGGAAGCACAACCCGGAAGCGCACAGTGACTTTCCAGCTGACGAGTCTAAGTCTGTGAATACTGCTGCTTTTGTAGGGGTCGCCCCCTAACGTCATTGGCTAGCATGACAAACTAATTATTGTGGCAGCAGGTGCAGCCTCACCTTTTTTCATCCTGTCACACAGAGCGCTGCTCAGATGTGTGTCCGTGTTACTTTCCCCCTATTGATAAAAATCACGGATGAGATGAGTGCCCCCTCCCCCATGGCAAGTTATGGAGGGGAAACGCTGCACTTCATATGCTCGTAACACTTTAGCGATTGCGATGATGATGAGATGAATGTACAGTAGTGCACAGCATGTACAGTACACACAATATATAAAACTTGGTTTAAAAAACCTGAAATGTAGTGTAGTAGTAGTATGTCAACGGACAGCTTTGCTGTACCTTCACTACTAATTAATTATTTACAACGGGTTCTTTCTTTTTCGAGTTAAATTAATGCCATGTGACCGAGATAACTGTGAGTATTGTTTAATCAGTGACAGGAGACGTTATTTTTCTTTGGCCCATCAGAATAAATGCGGTCATTTATTTAACAGAATCAAAATTTAACATCAAAACATTGTACACTTGATTCGCTGATCTGGTTCTGATTAACAGAACTTGGCACGCTTTACTAACAAGACAACCGAACATTTCTGAAGGCATCTAGATTGATTTACTGGCGGAAAGATTTACTGTACAAGAGGAGTTATTTAGAGGAAGATGGATGAAGGAAAGATGTAGGTTTTTGTTGACCAGAATTGGCACGCTTCTTTCAACACCAGCTCAAACCTCCGGTACACTTAGCGTGCGACGACTAGTTACCTTTGCAGAAGATGAATCAGCTCCGGTACCGGGTCCATTTCAACGCTACCTTTCCAGCGTCTCCGGTTAAAGCGGCTGGTCATTGTCAGAAGTCGTGTGGTTTACTCCGGTAAACAGAACTAGCTCCCTTCGAGGTTGTAGGCGTTACGCCCGGGTGAGTTCACAGCAAGGCGCTGTGTCTCCGCTGAGATAGACGGACCCTCGTCTCACGGTCAAATCCATCAGCTATCGATTAAATCTGAAAGTTCCTTAGGAACTCTCAGGAAGACTCCATAATCAGAGACTGAGTTCAAAGATTGAAGAGTCGAGAAGACTCCGCTTCTTCCAAGACTGAAAAGACTGAATAGTTCCAGGAAGTGTGGACTTTTTAAAGAGTCCTCACTTCCGGTCACTTAGTACTTCCTGATTGGTTGAAACAACCAACAGGGGGTGGTTCTAATGATGTCAGAGGGTTATTAAAAGTCAAGAGAGGGTTCAGGAATGTTTAGGAACGTTTAGTACAGACAGAGAAATGTTTTGAAGAAGTGAGAGGAACCCAGATGCCAATGGCAGTTATTTACCGTCTGCTAGGTTTAAAAACAATACAGTTCGTTCTAATAACTCGTTCTCTGACTGTCTCTGACTTTTGACCGACATCACTGACTTCTCATTCAGACAGAAGATCAAAATGCATAATTACTTTGTAAACAGACATTTAACTTGATTTCTAAGTCTAATGAGGTTTAAAAAATCATTAATACTGTTTCACAGTTGATTTAAATGAGTGGTTTACTTTCAACATTAGAAATTATATGAACTAAACACACTTTTGATTATCAAGATATTGTAAATTAGTAATGATAACATAAAAAGAAGAGTGTTCTTTCAATTGATTAATTCATGATACAATTAACAGTCTTTGGATGAGCTAATTTGTATTTCTGGATTCAAATCAATGAAATAACAGTTCCTGTCCCATGAAGGTCTTCAGAGACAGGTTGAGGTCGAGGCCTAGTTCACTACAATAGTGAAGGCGCAAAAAGTGAACCACAATATAGTGAGGGTCTGTTTTTATTATAGGGTGGCTGCTGGAAACCATTATGTTCTATTCAAGGCCAACACAAAGCAGCAATTGGCAAATAAGTGAAATAAAGTGACAAAACTCACCATTTTCTATCACCATGTTGAAAAGGCTGTGTTCGACGTGAGGCCACCTTCTTTTTTTGAATGTTTTAAAACTGGACAATGAGTGGGTCGTATGTGACAAAAAAAGAATAATAAAAATCGAATAAGCCAACAGAATATACTATTGGGGCGTAGTGTTGGTGCTTTAACACCAAGCTTTCTGTTCTCAAGCCACAAACTCATTGTGCTGTTGCATTCAGGTGCGACTCCTCAGCGTCGGGAGTTTGTTTATCCCCGACAACTGCACAAGTCAAGGAGCCGCAGCGAGCTGCTAAACAGTCTGAGGCAGCAGCAAGAGGATCTGCAGGCTGCGCTAAAGGAGGAAGAGGAGCAGAGAGAGGAACCAGAGGAGGAGGAGGACAAACAAAGCCACACTGGCGCTGTATGTACTTTGTTTTTTCCTGCTTCAGCATCACTGGAAACATAATCAAACACTTTCAGTAATTTTGTTTCTCAATTTATGTGATATGTTAAAGCTGTAGTTCTTTATTCTTTATAGTTGGTTCGTTATTAAAACGAAAGTTACGTATGTAACTACGGTTCTATGAATCCCGGATGGCCGCCAGAGTGCGGTGCTGAAAGCACTCAATGTTCCCTTCGCGCATGCGCTGTTCGAGTAATAATACCAACGGAGTCACAGGTGTGACACGGATGACCAATCAGAGGCTATATAGCCCGACATCATCCGCAGCTCTGCTCCTACAGAATCTTCTCGCGGAACGCAAGGATTCTGAGTGACAGAGAAGCTCTGGCGGTCATCCGGGATTCATAGAACCGTAGTTACATACGTAACTTTTGTTCTATTTCATCCCTCCTGACCGCCAGAGGGTGGTGCTGAAAGCACTGAATGACTAATACCAAATATGTCACAAGGAATCATAAACACCCACCTCACTGAGGAGACCCAGAGGACCCTTGTAGAAGAACCTGGCCCAGGGGATGAGGGGTGGCCACGTTAACTCTATAAAATCTGGTGAACATGCTTGGGGGAAGCTGATGCAGCAGCACATACTGCTTCCAGCGGAACCCCTCTCAGGGCAGCCCAGGAAGCGGAGACGCTCCTGGTAGAGTGAGCCTTCAAGCCGACCGGCAGGGGGCCGGGCCCTGCAGCATAGGCGTGGCAGATGACGTCCACGATCCAGTGGGAGAGGCGCTGTTTGGAAAGAGGACAGCCCAAACTAGGGCCTCTGTAACACACAAACAGCTGGTCTGAATGTCTTATCACGGCAGTAGCTGCAACGTATGCCTCAGTGCCCTCACCGGGCACAATAATCCAGACCCCTCACCAGGCGTAGGCTGAAAACGTGCCAGCCTCAACGGTTGGTTACAGTGAGAGTGAGAACACCTTTTGCTACAAATGCAGTGTTTGGCCACAAGGTAACACAAGAGCCCTCAGGGCCCCACCTGAGACATGAGGGGCTGACTGTGAGAGCATGTAGCTCGCTGACTGTCTTTGCTGAGGCAATAGCCAACAAAAAAGCCATCTTGCATGAAAGCCACTCGAGGTCCGCCTGAGTTAGAGGCTCGAAAGGAGGACGGCACAGAGCTTTGAGAACCAAGGGCAGGTCCCAACCTGGTGCTCGTGGAGCTGTCGGCGGGTGTGACCTACGGGCACCATGCAGAAAAAGAGACTAGATTATGGCTCCCTACCATACAGCCATCAATGCCAGCGTGATTAGATGATATTGCCGCTACATAAACTTTAAGTGTCGAAAGAGAGCGACCCTTACCAAGTAGAGACTGAAGAAACTCCAGAATGGTGGATACTGTACAGGAGACTGGATCCTCGTTGTGATCAGAACACAATTGGAAAAACAGACGTCACCTGTTTTCATACTGCTGACGAGTAGAGGATGCCCTGGCGCCCAGGATGGTGCGTCTGACGGGGCTCGAAACTCCAGTCAGCTGCTGTCCTAGCCTTGCAGTGGCCACACCCACAGCCGAAGACGTTGAGGATTGGGGTGCCATATCAGTCCCCCCAACCAAGACAGCAAGTCCCTCCTGGTCAGAAGACACCGTGGGACGCCCTGACATCGACTTCGTAGCAGTGGGAACCATGGTCATGCTGGCCAATACGGAGCCACCAGCAGCAGCATCCTGTGGCCCTCCTCAAGGACTCTCTGAAAGGTTGGCCAAATTAGAGAAAGGGGTAGAAAGGCATATAGAAGGACCCTTGGCCAAGGATTAGCCAATGCGTCCTGGCCCAGCGCACCCGACGCCCCCGTAAGAGAGTACTATAGTGGACACCGAGTCGACTCTTTTGTCGTAAATAGGTCTATCTCTGCCTGACCAAAACGGTCCCAGATCATCAGCACTATGTCGCTGTGGAGGGACCACTCTCCCGGAGGGGACCCTTGGCGGGAGAGAAAATCTGCAACCTGATTGTGTTGCCCTGGTAAGTACGCTGCCCGCAGGGTGGACAGGCGAGGAGAGGCCCATTCCAAGAGCTCTCTGAACACTCTCAGAAGTTGTGCTGACCTGGTGCCCCCCTGATTGTTGATGTGGTAGACAACAGAGGTGTTGTCTGACCGAACAAGAACATGCCAGCCAGAGTCCCTAGTCCGAGCCTGCCCAGCTGGTTGTTGGACCAACCCACGAAAGCTCCTACTGGGCCTTTGCTGAACCGCATGAGGGTAAGGACCACTCGGCCGGTTATGACCCCCAAGCGGTGGCTGCATGCTGGAGTCAGCCGACGGGCGCCTTGGATGCCGAGGAGGTGGAGGGGGCATTGCCCTGCTAAGGCTTGAAAATTGCTGCCTTCTCTGTTGTGCCTGGACAGTCCGTTCCAGTGCTTCCAAGGCAGCCGAACCGAACAACTCCCCCGGCACCACTGGGACATTAAGGAGGGTTCTACGGCATGGCTCAGTCAATGCTAACTGCGCCAACCAGACCTGTCGGCGAGCCTGTACCAAGGAGGACATCACGCGCCCAAGCTCCCTCGTCATTAGTGCAAAGGCCTGAAGCGCTGCTTCGCTAAAGCCCATTGCTGCTGTCGCACCACTAGTCCCCTGAAGGGACGCGGAGAGGACAAGCATGAGGTGTGCCAAGGAATTGCCTAAGCGGCCAGCACGCGCTCCGGCGGCATAGGGTCTGCAGAGGAATTCATCCGTGACACAACACTGAGCTCGTGGGCACCGAACATGACTGCACAGAGCTTCCTCTGGTGACACAATGAGAGAGGCAACAGCAGGTTCTATCGCTGGCATGCGATCCAAGCTTGCTGCAACCGGCTCATGCATGGCCGCCAACACTCGGCCATCTGCGGAGAGGCGCGCAAAGGCTTTGGGGTCCCGCCAGCAACCATGCAACTCCCTCAGGAACTCCTCTGATGGAGGGACAGAAAAGGAAGGAGGGGTCAGTCCGCCCCTGAAGAAGGCACTTCTAGGGGTGGACGCCTCTGGTTGCGGGACGTCCAGCTGCAGTTGTCTCAGAGCCATACGCATGACGTCCTGCATCGAGCAGTCACCCGACCCACTAACTGTGCCCCGAGAAGAAGAAAGTGAAGCTGTATCTGAGACTTGAGATGAATGCCCGTCCTCCTCACCTAAAAAGTGAGAGGCAGAGGCAGCCAAGGATGGCACATCTTCCTCCGCAGCCAGTTCAGGCATGGGTGGGGAGGAGAGTCCGGTCGCTGCCACTGGTTCAGTTCCCAGTTGGCGTACCTGAAAAAGGGACTTAATCTCCGCTAATTCAGCGGAGAGCTGCTCCACCCTTGTGGAGAGGCCCCCATCAGACCTGACTCGCTTCTTCCCAGGAGGGGCCATAGAGACTGCGGCCTCAGTCCGGCGCTTCGAGCGCCTAGGTGGAGCCTCCTGCCCAGAAGGCAGGAGGTCATCGCCGAGTTTTGGGCGAAACTGGGCCAGCCGGGCTACCTTCACAGCACGCGACATGAAGCTGAAATTCATGCTGGGGTTTTCTGACAGTGCCTCCACCAGATGGTCATGTCCAAGGCAGGTAGGACACAGGTCGTGACCGTCATCTGTCTGGAGCATGGCTCCACAGACTGTACAGCAGTGAGAGCCATCCATGCTCCTTACCCAGCTATGTCCAAGATAATAGGACGAAAAAATTACGGCAAGAAACTCAGAAAAGGTAACACCGCTAGCTCAGCTGGTAAAGAGGACAATTGGGAGAGGCGGCGCGAACGCTTGCCTTCACCAATTAAAACAAGGCCAGGAACTCGGCTGGCTACGTAATAAGCAAACTTCAGAGCACAGTCCAACCGACCACGCGGTTGGAGGTCTCCAGTAAACAGGAGCGGAGCGAACGCTACCGCTAACCAATAGCAAAATATAAGCAAAAAAAACCACTACTCACCAGTGTTAAATCACATACATAGTAGTCATAAACAACGTCGGAGCACAGTCCAGCCGACCACGCGGTTGGAGGTCTCCCAACAAGCGGGAGCGGAGCGAACGCTACCGCTAACCAACGGCGAAATATAAGGAAAAACACTACTCACTGTGTTGAATCACACACATAGTAGTCAGACGCTGTAAGTTGGGAGAGGCGGAAACCGCCGTAGTCTCCAACGAATCATCAGAAAATACCTTTGAACAGGGTTAAACCGTCGCAGCCCTAGGAGGGCGAACACGCTACTCCCGCAGACGGGCAGTCGGGCTTCAGACGACGGTAAAAAGTTCAGAAAAGGTCCAAAGGGCTGAAGCCCTGAATTGAACCGCGGCGAGAAGAAAAAAGGAGCAGAGCTGCGGATGACGTCGGGCTATATAGCCTCTGATTGGTCATCCGTGTCACACCTGTAACTCCGTTGGTATTATTACTCGAACAGCGCATGTGCGAAAGGAACATTCAGTGCTTTCAGCACCACCCTCTGGTGGTCAGGAGGGATGAAATAAAACCAAATTTTATTTCACTTGCTTTTCTTGTTTCAGGATTCTCTTGAGGATGAGACGAGTAACTGCATCGAAAGTGAGCCATCTTTTGATGAGAACCTTGTCTTCAACGAGAGAAATCGTGTTCCTTTCTTTAAGGTGAGTTTAGAGATGAAGACAAGTTTCATGTTCTAATTCAAAACAGTTTTAGTTTAATATTAATGTGTTTGTTTTCCTGCAGAAAAAAGGCAGTAAGGAGTCTAAGAACTACAAATCAAAAGCACCAGAAAACGAAGGCTCATCGACTCCTCAGAAATCTCGACTCCCACTCCGCTGTGTGAACTAAAGCAACTTCAAATATTCTTTGTTTCTTCTCACTGTATTTTTTTTAGATGTTGTCTTTTGTCTTGTTTTGCTTTAGCCAATTTTAAAAGCTAAAGCAAATTCATTTAAAAATCTCAATGTAGTTATTTTAAATTTTGTGGTTCATAAAGAAAAGTATGCTTGCTTTATACTTTTATTTTTTTTAACGCATGAGTGACCAAAAAAAAAAAAATTCTCAAAATTCAAAAGGTATTTCTTTATACTCATGTTTTGTTGTAAACTTTGTTTATACCGAACACATGAATGCCTTTTTGAAGAAAGTCTTTGTTGCAAGATATTTCAAGTTGCAAGTTTTCATTTCTACATTAATTCAAAGAGGAAAAATTATCTCATCCAAATATTTAACAAGTTCAATTTTTTTTCTTTCCCCAGATAATTTTTTTGTCAGTCTTGACTGTGGTGTCCAACAAAGTTGTTTGTGTACTTGGTCCAAAGCATTTGAAATTTATGAATTTTTTTGAAATTCTAATTAAACTTGTTTTTTCATAATTATCCAAGCTACTTTAGTTCTATGTACTGGTGTGTAACTCTTTTTAAGAAATTATGTGTAAGTATTAAATAAACTTTTTTTTTTTTTTTTTTTTTTTTGTCCATAAGAAAAACGTGGTTTGGGAGTGGTTATTTCTTCAAATAATTCCACCTAAATTTATCTGGGAAAAGGTTTGAGAATTAGTTTACAAAAAAAAGGCAACAAAAAGGAATACAGTTTATTCAATTTCCAAAACCTAAACGGTGTTTGGATAAATGTAAAGGATGATGAAGCCCTGTGGCTGACCTCATTAGCAGCTGAGTACATCAGTTATTAACAGGAAGTACCACATGTTCATCTAGTTAACTAACTTCCTCCCTGGCTCTCATCGAGGTGGCTGCTTCTGTCATCCCTTCCCTGTTTTTCCTTCCTCCTGCACTACTCTCTGTGTGTCTGAAGCGCCTGGGTCTCATCTCCCGAACATAAATTAAGAAGATTATGGATTTGGTATCGTGGGCGTTCAACTCTATTTATACGATTTTTTTCATCAAAGCGACAAGGTCCTGGGGAACCGACGTGTCCAGCTGAGACTCGCGCTGTGGGGTACTTCGTGGGGAGTGTGGCAGATGATGTGTCTCTCAGTTCTGTCTCAGGAGGATGTTGAAGAGGTTTACATATTTGGATTTATGATAGCAGGGACTCTGCTTTTTGGCATCGGCGGGGCTCTGTTTTATCGACTTTTGAAGAAGACATCTGCAGCAGTTAACCGGCCATGGAAAAGCTTCTGAGTCTGTGTGAAGGTTTAGTCCGTGCAGTAGGAACTTTAAATTATCTGGTTTACGAGCTTAACCGTAAGGTGGAGGTGATTTATGAGAATCGTAGGCCACCTGCAGCTTCTGGGACTCGTCAGCGTGGTGGGTGCGACCTTGAAGGAGACTCGTAGCATGGATCAGTGGAATGGAATCCCACAATTAGGCATTTTGGGAACCAGAACGCTCAGATGGACTCGAGGCTGGAAAAAAGTAATCTGCCTGAAGAAAAACAAGAATTGAGCTTTTCTGAATCTGACTCCCCGACGGCCTCGGAGACAGGCCCACTATCAAATTTCTCCTCGGACATGAGTATCC